TACATAAGGCTAACAATTTAACATTCTATTTACTCCACACATTTGGAAAACTATCTACACTCAACACTAAATGGCAGAAGCGACAAGCGTTTGTCAGTCAAACGTTACCACCTTAAAAATCGAGTTTTAAATAAAAATATTTATAATACATCTTGTCGTACGCCCGACATCAGGTAACAAACACCCTTCCAAACCGACACACCTCCGACACCTTTCGACACCGTGTGCCAGCCTCCGCGGTGCCAGCTCTCTCAACCGTCCACCCCGACACGCCGACGGAAACTTTCGACACCGTGTGCCAGCCTCCGCGGTGCCAGCTCTCTCAACCGTCCACCCCGACACGCCGACGGAAACTTTCGACACCGTGTGCCAGCTCTCTCACCGTGCCAGCTCTCTCACCCATGTACGTTCTCCCCGTGCCAGTTCTCTCAGCCGTTTAATAACACGGTGGTGCTAGCTCTCTCATTTTTACCCTACTTCAAAGTTACAGAGGTTTTGTATCAAAACCTCAAAAGGACATTCGGAAAGAATATAGGCTGTGTATTGTTACCACTTACACAAAAAAGAGTGGATGTAAATAGAGCAGATTTGAGCAAGGGAGGGTTTCCGTGAAAACTCGGATGTATTCATGAGGGATTTTACTCTCAAAGTTTACTCTTGCTTGTAACATCTGCAGTAATCTATTCTCAGCAGTTGAATTTGAAATTCAAGCAATATACATTGATTTTTAAGCCGGTTTTTAGCCTTTGTTACTATGCATATGAAATTGTCAATGAGTTGAGATGAGCGTTTGTAATAAGTAATAATAACCCTAATTGTTTTTCTACTGAAAATGTACATTATTGCAATTTTCATCACTAAATATGCTATACTAGCTGTACCCGCGGGCTTTGCCCCGTTTAACTTCATAAGTATTCGCATGGCTCATTCACGTCCTGGTTGAAGTTCGTTCGCTACGCTCTCTCACCTTTAAGTTGGAGCTCGTTCGCTGCGCTCACTTGCCTTCAAGTTAGCTCGTTCGCTACGCTAACTCGCCTCCAGGTTGAAGTTCGTTTGCTACGCTCACTCACCTTTTGGTTGGAAATTAGCTGTTGTCATAAATAAATAAAAAAAAATTATAGTGCTGCACCCTGTTGGTAATCCTTGTAACTTTTATGCTATTGAACATCATAGAACAGAACCAACTTGTTTGATTGAAACAGCTGTTAAGATGCATTAATTCCTTTTAAATATAAAAAATCATAAGATTAACATGGGGAACTACAGAGCCACTGGGGCGGAGCCCGAAATGATTTTTGAGATAAGAATATGCTTTACTGTTAATCGGGAATGTGAGCTATCATCATGCCAAATTTCAGCCCAATCCGTCCAGTAGTTTATGCGTGATTGAGCAACACACACACACACACACACACACAAACACACACTCAAACTCACAAACTTTCAGATTTATAATATTAGTAAGATTAAATTCTATATAAATTATTATTAAAGGATAATGTAATTTTTATTTTTTACGTACTCTATGTACCACTCTATGTATGCCGTATAACTTGCGTAGATAAGTACAAAACAACACATATTCTGCTGCATTATCTCATTGTACAAAATAATATCGTTTACATTGTTTCGTATTGGTACTTATGTTCTCATTTTACTGTTGTATGAGTAATTTACATTTGCAGATCGATATAATAACAATAGAGTAACAAAACATCAACTAGTTACTGTATTATCGGGAACATATTTCGTGTAAAATACTAAGAACTTGAATTTGATACATTTATCTCCAATTCAAAAGACAAACTAGTTGAGTAAGTTGTCCAAGAGTTGTTGAACTGCAACTTAGTCACGGAATGGCCCTAATGTTCCTTTCCTCTTGCGGCTAAACTTGCAGAACAAACTACCTTCAACAGATTGCAGTTGGGGAAACTGTCTGTGATTAAATATAGCTTATATCAAGGAGTGCAGTTGGTCTTACCAATATTATGATCCAGCTCATTCTAGAGGTCTTTTTGTGGAAGGTAATGCACCACCACCATATCTGTATGATATGCTTTATGCGTACATTTTTTTCTATGAGAAATTTTCTGAGTTTACATTCTCAGACTTGCAGAACATCTTAAAAGGGAATTTTAAATCATGTAAATTTAAACTAAAGTTTTTTTTTAAGCATGACTTTTATTTTGTGATAGTAGTTTAAAATGTTTGGTAACTAAAGGGTACAACAAACACAAATGTATATATAACAACACCTTTATTGGTTGGACGTATGACATATTAACATTCATACAACAGCTTACTAGCGTATAAATAGCGCAACGTTATCTGGATAACACAAATCGCACAATAAAAATATGAGCTACGAATGCTATAAAATATTCAATTGACATTTCCAAACGAACGCAATCGCTGTAAGTTGGTGTTTAGCAGCTCACACACACGCTCACACATTCACACACACACACAACGTACAAAATATACAATCACGTCGTCAGTAACACTTTAAAAATATATTCAACGATTTAATTAAAAAAATATTTGGTAACTTTTCTAAACTTATATAAACAAACCGTCGTCCGATTCTGACGCTATCCTAACATCTTTTACCCAGTTGGAGTAAGAAGGAGTAAAGATTGAAAGCTGAAGATGAAAAGTTGTAAGGATTGATATATGATCGGAAAAGTTTAAATTGAATATAAATAAATAATTGTTTTTCCAACTTTAAATATCCTACAAAACTAAAATATGGAATAGTAAAAAAATCCAAAACATAAAAACAATAAGTTAGTTAGCTAGGATTAATCAACTGCGTTTACGTACTACCAAGAGAGTAGTTTTAAGCAAAACTGTTTCAAACCATAGTGTTACCTATATTTGACAAGTAAAAAGATATCAAACATTTATATTTAAAAAGTAGAAGAAATAGAGAAACCGAGCACCAATAAAGTCAAGTATACATCAGTACGTACTAATGTGAAACAAGAAGTTTGTTATAGGAAAGGATTTGACAAACGTTGACTTGCGTTGCGGCTTATCTTACATTTACCCTATCTTACACTATCTTAAGCTTAACATGGAAGTCTGTGAACCACATAACTTACTATAAAATACATTTGTAACCCCTAGTCTACTGCAACTAGCGAATTACGTCATTAAGTGACTTTCTCGTTTATAGTATAGTATAATCAATCGTAAAAACAGTAACCAACTTTATTTGGAGTTATTTAAGGTTAAAATATAAAATAGGTTCGTAAAAAATACACAATACAATATCATAGCGTAGATTTTTTCAATATCTAGATGGTAAAATAAATACGTTTGTTAAACATAAATCTTCATGAAACTTAGAGCAATATTTTGTCACAGGTTGTGGCATTTATAAACATATTTCACTTATTAAATTTTCTTTTTTTGCAGTCAGTACAATTTATTTTAATAAGTTTTCAATTTATAAAGTAAGTGATTCGAATTAGACATAACTTTTTGAAAGATAATGTAAATAGAACATAAATATATGAGATAACTCAAAGAGTAATATTTCTTGAATGAATATATAAACATTAAAAAAAGTTCATTCTTAATCTTAATGACGAAAGAATCCTAGTAGCAAAACATTTTACTCAGGGTTTATGAACCAAATTACTTCATGAAACACATAAAATAATCTATTTCAGTTTCTAATATTAAAGTTTAGCAAGTATATTTAGTAACACTGTTAAACAAATTGTGCGCTTGTCATTCATCCTACACATGTTTATATTTGAACAAGCTTTGTTATTAAATTATTTTAAATACACAAAACTGCCTAGGTATGAACAAATACTGAACACATAAATTGAATAATCTAAAAGTTATATTTCATAAAACTTGGACCCAATTAAAATAGGAATAAAACATCGACTGTAATTCCCATTTATTGATATTACATTAAACTAAACATCTACAGAACGTCAAAAGTACGCTAAGATATTAAATATTAACTCCAGTCAATTAAGCTTATGTTATATAGACTCATATTATCACATATATGATACACATCTATCTGTCTATCAACATGGGTGCTTATTATATTTTATATAAACTTCCAAACACCTGCAACGTATTGCAGTATAGAACCAACAATTTGGAGTATTAGTAACCACTACAGACGTGTTCCGGCATATGTGATTACTCTATACAAAATATAGAGTTTACTATATTTAACTGTAGTACAAACATAGGTACTTAAATTCGCATGCCATGGTAACTGATTATTTTTTCGTTTTGTTTTCACCCCCCATTAAAATTAGAAAAGAAAAATTACAACTATACCAAATGGGTTTAGTCGTAATTTAGCACAAACAGACACTGTCATATTATTTGTGATATTATTTAATTGGTTGAGGTGATGTCAAGAATAGATTCTAGTTTTAGCATGTTGTTCGAACAATATACAGTAATAATAAAACTAAAAATAAACATGTCACAGTGAACAACATCACAGTGCATGAAATATGTAATTGTATTAATAGAAGCCTGTTTTTATGAACCCAAATTTTGTATATCTATTATCGAGTATATTTCCGTATATACATTGTTTCCAGAACTTGTTACTTTTTTGTGTCATTTTCATACTTTAACATTCACGTCTTCAATGGAACATCATTTTCTTGGTTCCTTGACATTAGATTCACAAAACTATTTGAAATAATCTCATAAAATGTTAGTGAATGTAAACATATTTTTGTGAAAAATATTAAACTATTAGGCTGCCTTAAGTTTACGTCATACACTCATTCAAATTAATTTATCGTCGATATTTCGATTATATCATTCGATATATCAAGTGTGGTTAGTTAGGTTAAAAAACCCTAACTAACCGAATGAAATAATCGATACATAGAATAATATAACTATCAATATTTTTCATTCGAATGAGTGTAGTACGTAAACTAAAGTGCATTCAAATAATTTAATTTAATATAAACAATAATTAATTAAAAAAACGCATAAAAAATATAATCTTCACAATATTACCGGAACACAGTCCGTAGTCACTCCAACTCCGACGCAACCCTAACAATCCTACATGGTGTTGGCAGACCTACGGTACTATTAAGACACAGATTCTGGCCGGTGGATGCAATTGTCCGAGGGTCAGACGGGGAGGTCCCCGGGGGAGGTGAGGAGGTGAGCGAGGGAGCGCACCAGGAGGGCGAGGCCCAGGGTAGACACGCAGCCCCAGGACACCACCACCCTGTGCAAACCGCTGGCCATCGTCACGTTGACGTGGATGGACGCTTGACTCACCCCCTTGTCAGAGACTACCAGGAACATGTACTCCCCGTGGTCCGTGGGCTGGACACACGTCAACTCCAGCACCGCGACATAGCAGTGTGCTGTAGGGCCCTCCTGGAAACAGTAAGGGTAATGTTAGGTAGACCTTGTACCTTAAATATTTGATTCTCTAGGTATCCAACTGGTTGTAGTGCTAGAATGTAAATCAAAATATAGCTAGATTTGTCATTGGGATGTCAAGATATGATACTACCGCAAAACTGTGATGCTTGATAGTAACAAGATCAAAGTTTGGGGGTCGTTTGGGATCCCTCAAAAAATTGTTGAAGGGTTACAAATACACATAGTTATTTGTATGTATTTTATGTGTATGAAAAAATATGAAATTAAAACTCACCATAAAAAAAGGAAATAAGGAGGTGATTTTTCAACTAGAACACAGTTTATGAGTTGTTTCTTCAAAATATACCTCACTGTTATTGAAAAATAGCAATACAATAATGTTGTTTAATATAGCAATGCTGTCTTTGCTTTGTAAAGTAACTGTTCAAGGATAATCCTTAATCATAAGAAAAGGGTTCAAAAAAGTATATGCAAATTTATATAAATTCATTTTACAGGTAAACGTTTTATTATTCAGCCCCAACCAAAATTCAAAAACATGCTTAACTGTAAAATAATATTGTTATAAATAACATTCAATAATTCCATTACATTAAACTAGTGGCATAAACAGGAGACTGAACATCAACTTACAGTTATTTTATGAGCAAATATTCCATCAGGTGTGGGGATGCGGCCGGGCGTGAACACCCGGTCTTGGTTTATCCACAAGGCCTTGGTATGGGGAGGGTTGGCACAGAACTCAACAGCGAGCTCGGCTCGGTCCCCAGTGGCTACTGTCACAGTCTTGTTACTGGGGTAAACTGCTGGCCCACCTGATACACATATTGGCAATTAGTATAGTGGTAGTATTAGCAAAGAGGGCTTGAAGCGCATGTGAGCTCCAATCATAAATAAGTTTTTGCTACATAACTAAAACTGAGCTTAGATATACAGCTTAAAAGCAGTTTTAAAAAATTTTGTTTATTTCTGGTGGCTCTTTGTTAACAGTTCTACACTATCTATTGTTGTTGTCTATTGTTGTTGTTATTGTCACTATCTATGTGAATCAAATTGCTTAGCCAGCCAAATAAGAGAGGTATAAACTACGTTTTCCAACAGTTTATAGCTTGACTATTTAATAATGCAAGTGTTTCAAATAAGAATCAATTAGATCTGAAGATAAACAAAGGTGAATGAGAGGATAAGTTATCTTATTGCATGGGGTAAATAAAAGTAGGATATTTATTGAAACCAAATGGCCTTTTAGGATGCCCATTAGGTAAACCCTCATAATATTTGATAAAAGTTAAATACAAGGATGTGACACTGACCAACCACAGAGACGTGGACGTTGTGGGATCGGTACTTCTCGAGTTTAGCGCTGCGGGCGACGACACAGCGGTACTCGCCAGCCTCCTGGTAGAGGATGCGGTCAACATGTAGTCCTGGGCCTGGCCCCACTGGGTCTAGTGAGCCATCCTTGCCCACCTTGCCCCAGCAGCCTCCCTCTTTGCTGGGGCACTGCAGCTGTACTACCCCTCCTAGCGACACCTCCACCGCCGCCTCCTCGGAGACTCCAGCGTCACCAGGTGTCATCTCCATCTCAGGCACGTCGTCTGCAAAGTGAGGGAGAGTTAGAGGCAATACAGGGATTTTTGATAGCAAAGTTCTTGAAAATGTAATATGTCTTACTGTGAACTTTATTGTGTCTAATTATCTTACAAATCAGTGGTATTATTAAAATTAACTTCACAAACATTTGAGGCAATACACAATACTGCCATGTTCAAAACGTGGAGCTCTACACATTAGAAACGTGTTCAGTATAAAGTGTTTACATTTTACTAATAAACTACGACTAAATAATTGTACAACCTCTTACTAAACAATTGGTTTATACTGTATATAAAACATGGAATTAGGCAAGGTGTAAAGTAGTGTTTTTACCAATGCAAGTTCGTAACTTAACGGATTTCCGCCCTACATTACACCTCAACTTGATGCCACCAATTATTTAAATTATAAAGTAAATTTAACTACATCTAAGAATTTGTTTATCATCAGTTGAGAAGGGGATGCCATCTAGGTACATATGTTAACCGAAGAGGAGTGTAGAATGAAGTGATATCACATGTGTAGTTTTGTTATTACCTGAGATTAGCTTTTACAACTAGCCAGGGTTATTTATTTAAAGCCCAATGATAAGGGAGGGCTGGGTTTGGATTTCAACCATTTAAATATTTACAGAATTCTTAGGATAGATCCTAAACCCCTTTGATTGTCTAAGTCTAAACCCTAAACCTACCCAGTTACTCAGCAAGTGTACCAAGGCTCCAAAAGGACTTATAGCATAAAATTATCCTATGGTATTTAGAATTTAATTAGCTAATACTATCAGATAACTTTGAACAAAAAGTTATATATGTATAGTCCACTTTACAGTACTTACGTCTAACATTAAGAAGATAGGCGATAGAAGAGAAGTCTCCCAGGAGATGTTTAGTGGTACACTTGTACCAACCACCCAGTTTAAATTAATAAAATATTTACATTGCAAATATCATCAAAGTTGACAATGGAAACCTTGTTAGAAATTTTCTTATTCGGCTTGGAACTCAGTGTAACCTTATTTAAAAAAAAATATATCGCATAGTTCAAAGGGTTCTCTAGTGACTGGTGGTATTAAATTATTTATTAAATTATAGTCAGTACAAACTATACGCAATAGTCATACAAAGTTTGGTTGTACAGCACGTACAACATTTATGTGTCATTCATCCATCGAGATGATTTCTTGTATTGCATGGTCTGTCAATGGCAATGGCAAAGCACAACAAGTAACGTAAAAGTATCATTTTACCTGTAAAAGGTTTCTAAATTATGGTTAAATTAATTAAAGACAATCAGCATACGTATTAGGCGTTACAAACAACTATCATTGTAATGAATTACCAATTACGTTTAAAAGTAATTTATCCTATCCTACTAATTTTATAAGTGAGAAAGTTTGGATTCATGGATGGATGGATGTTTGTGACAAGTAAACGCGAAAAATACTCAACCGACAGGGTTGAAATTTAGTATGATGATAGGTCACATTCCCGATTAACATATAGACATAATCTTATCTCAAAAATGCTTTCGGGCTCCACCTCAGTGGCTCTCGAGTTTCCAATTTTAACCTTATGAGTATTCATATTTAAAAGGAATTAAAGAATTTTGACACCTGTTTCAACTGCACATGTTGGTTCTGTGATATTAAATAGCATTAAAAATTTAAAATGTTTACTAAAAGGGTACAGTGCTATTATTTTTTTGTATATTTATGACAACGGCTAATTTGAACCAACTTGCAACACAAAGCTGTTGTACACAATGAGAACTTTACTTTTTTCTATGGTTTAGGTGCAGTGGTAGAACATTATGGCTATGGTAGATGGGCTATACTATAGCATACCGAATAAATTAAATGACTCACATTTTATTAAACCGTGTCCTCTTCCATAACTGCAATAAGCATTTTATACTTATATGCCAACCTCGTACGAAGGACGGATACCCTGCTAGTTGTGTAGTAAATAAATCATTAAATAAAATATTCAGTCCCTCTGATAAAATGTGTATTTACATTTCAGTCGACGTTGATATTATCCTCATTATTTGAACATTTTGTTTTCTTGGAATGCTTGTTGTTAGAGCAATGCTGATTTTCAAATAAAGAAAGATATTAGATGATTTATGTAATTCTGACGACTAAATGACGACTGTTATTTAAAACTTAAAGGAGTTTCCCAGAACCCTTAGTTCAAGATTGTTTTCGCTTACAGTTCAGGGTAAAAAGAAAGAAGCCTTTTTATATTTCAGTTTATAATTTATTTTAAAATTTATTGCATGCACAATGGTCAAATAAGAAACTTTATACTAATAAACTTTTTTTCTAAATTATAAATTATATTTTGATACACTTACTCTCTGGATTTTAGACTTCAGCGGTCATATCTATCAACACTGGATTCATAATTATAAACAAAAAGAGGATCTTATATGCTTTGTTTTTATAAATATATTTTTCAATACACTATAAACTGAACAATATTTCTTTCATGAATAGCTACGCTATTTTTGCTAATACCAAGTCGCTGACAAACCAATCCATCAGTTTTTTGTAAATTTATTTAGAAATTTCTTGTTACAGTTTGTAATTAACTACAATAAATCTATTTTCTATAATAACTCGAATAATATTTCGGTAATTGTTAGTATTTTATACGAAGTTATCTCGCATGCCTACGTACGTCATGGGATACAAATATACAGTTAAATGTTACTTGCCCAGGAAGATAACAATTTTGGCTAAATGTCTTACTCTTCTAAAAGTTATTAAACTTACACTATAAATACGTTTCTACACAATGGGCAACTTGCTATGAGTTGTTTGGAAAGTGCTTAATAAATAATAAATACTTACAAGTTATAAAGTCATGCAAAGTATTCGAGTTCCAGTTGGTGATTAACCATGAATATTAGGTAAAGTTATCCTTAATCATGTCGTATTGAAGAAAATAGCTTTATTTTGTTCTCTAAAGGATTAAAAGAAACACATAAATTCTTACTGTTCTAACTGTTCTTACCTATGTCGATGTGTGAAGAATGATTTATTGTAACGAAGAAATTTATCGCGTATCAAGTTTGGTATGGTAAATGCAATGAATTTAAGCTTTTAGTAAAGACAATAGCATTTATCTGACTGACTGTACATCTGTCAAGACTTCCCTTCAGTAAACCGGAGAGTAACTGGTCGGAAATAGACCAATAATATAACTTTGACAGTTTCGACTTGGTTTAGGAACTACCCGAAGGCGCTTCCAAACTCCGTAGTGACTCCAAAGTTATAATTACAAACGACAGATTTGATAGGACTGGAATTTTTGCATTAAGGTTTTAAGAGTATTCTTCGTAAAAGTTCAGAATTAATGAATAAACACAGCCCGGTTCTTGATCAGTAACTGTAAAAAAAAATATTTTCTAGCCACTGGAACTCTGAAGATCAAATATCTAATATAAACAAATGTTTAAAGAATCATAATAATTTTTTATCCTTTTTAGAGTTTAGGAACGGTTGGACACATTTATAAATCTAAAACTTTCTTATGACAATATTTTACATTATAAAAAATATCTCCCAAACATTAAACATTATTTAACCTACAGTACTTTGATTTTTGTACCCAAAACCGACAGTCCTATTAAGTTTTTAGTTTTTTTTCGCTCAAGCAACCAATTTATTTATTGTTGATGTTAAACAGTGTTTTACTAAATTAAACCTCAATGTCGAATATAAAGCGACTTTGGTGGTTTCTTGTAATTAAATAAGTTCGTTATGATATGTTTCTAAATCCAAGGATGAAACATTTATTTAATTGTTATTGATGTAAACTTATAATTAATTTTAGTTTCAATTCCAGTCGTGTTTTCATATAACGATTAAAAGACAAAGAGAGTCTGACTGTAAGGTTGATTTAATGGCATCCATATTGTGGCATACAATTTTAAAAGAAACGGTAAATTGCTATAACAATTTTTACACAATCAACAAGAAAATCACTAAATACAGTAAATCAGTAAAGTAAGAACGGGTTATCTTAAACACTAGAGATAAATCGGTTTAACAATGATCTTTCCAAGCCCTTGAGAGAGATAGTCAATGAAGAACTCTAATTTTCTTTTACTCCTGCGGCCAAACTTACAGAAAGATTTATTTTTCCTTTTTTTACATACATAAAATAATTTGATAATCATATTTTCTTTACTTTAATATTCTCCTCATCACTAATCAATCAATAATATTCACCAATGAATAATAAAATACTTATTAATTGACTTGAACTAATAATTGAATTTTTTTTTAAGTGGTTATGTGATGAAAAGAGCAGAGTTGTTATTTTTAAAGGAAATGTCAGCTTTCGTAATTTTTAATATGCATTCAATATACGTAATTTTTTTATGAACGCAGTAGCATAGAATATGTACGGTTGTGTGACATAAGAACCTCATTGATCACGTTCACAACGAAGCACCCTTTGACTTTTAAATATTTGTTAAGATATGAAGGAAGAAAGATAGAAGGAACAAATAAGAAGAAAGTTATACTAATATGCCTTGACACTAAGAGATTGAGTAAGATCTATGAGTAGGCCTACTGCAAGGAACTTACATTTAAAACTTGAGGGGTAAACAACAGCTTACCGATTTATAATTTGCAAAAACAAGTTTATTGATCGTTGCATTCCAATATAGAATCAACTCACTAAACTTTCTGTATTACCCAAAGTGATCCGTACTATTTTAACACGAAAGGGTATTTATTTACGACACATAACTAACTTATTTTCATAAACATACAATCAAAGTTACAGAGGTTTTGTATCAAAACCTCAAAAGGACATTCGGAAAGAATATAGGCTGTGTATTGTTACCACTTACACAAAAAAGAGTGGATGTAAATAGAGCAGATTTGAGCAAGGGAGGGTTTCCGTGAAAACTCGGATGTATTCATGAGGGATTTTACTCTCAAAGTTTACTCTTGCTTGTAACATCTGCAGTAATCTATTCTCAGCAGTTGAATTTGAAATTCAAGCAATATACATTGATTTTTAAGCCGGTTTTTAGCCTTTGTTACTATGCATATGAAATTGTCAATGAGTTGAGATGAGCGTTTGTAATAAGTAATAATAACCCTAATTGTTTTTCTACTGAAAATGTACATTATTGCAATTTTCATCACTAAATATGCTATACTAGCTGTACCCGCGGGCTTTGCCCCGTTTAACTTCATAAGTATTCGCATGGCTCATTCACGTCCTGGTTGAAGTTCGTTCGCTACGCTCTCTCACCTTTAAGTTGGAGCTCGTTCGCTGCGCTCACTTGCCTTCAAGTTAGCTCGTTCGCTACGCTAACTCGCCTCCAGGTTGAAGTTCGTTTGCTACGCTCACTCACCTTTTGGTTGGAAATTAGCTGTTGTCATAAATAAATAAAAAAAAATTATAGTGCTGCACCCTGTTGGTAATCCTTTGTAACTTTTATGCTATTGAGCTACATAGAACAGAACCAACTTGTTTGATTGAAACAGCTGTTAAGATGCATTAATTCCTTTTAAATATAAAAAATCATAAGATTAACATGGGGAACTACAGAGCCACTGGGGCGGAGCCCGAAAGGATTTTTGAGATAAGAATATGCTTTACTGTTAATCGGGAATGTGAGCTATCATCATGCCAAATTTCAGCCCAACCCGTCCAGTAGTTTATGCGTGATTGAGCAACACACACACACACAAACACACACTCAAACTCACAAACTTTCAGATTTTTAATATTAGTAAGATTAAATGCTATATAAATTATTATTAAAGGATAATGTAATTTTTATTTTTTACGTTGGCAATACCCACTCTATGTATGCCGTATAACTTGCGTTGATAGATGTACAAAACAACACATATTCTGCTGCATTATCTCATTGTACAAAATAATATCGTTTACATTGTTTCGTATTGGTACTTATGTTCTCATTTTACTGTTGTATGAGTACTTTTACATTTGCAGATCGATATAATAACAATAGAGTAACAAAACATCAACTAGTTACCGTATTATCGGGATAATTTTTCGTGTAAAATACTAAGAACTTGAATTTGATACATTTATCTCCAATTCAAAAGACAAACTAGTTGAGTAAGTTGTCTAAGAGTTGTTGAACTGCAACTTAGTCACGGAATGGTCCTAATGTTCCTTTCCTCTTGCGGCTAAACTTGCAGAACAAACTACCTTCAACAGATTGCAGGGGAAACTGTCTGTGATCAAATATAGCCTATATCAAGGAGTGCAGTTGGTCTTACCAATATTATGATCCAGCTCATTCTAGAGGTATTTTTGTGGAAGTGAATGCATCATCATATGATGATATATTTTATGAGTAAACTTTTTTCTATGAGAAATTTACAGTTAAAATTCTCAGACTCACAGTAAATCTTAAAAGGGAATGTTAAATCATGTAAATTCAAAATAAACCCTTTTCAAACATGATTTTTATTTTGTGTCATGTCTAAATTTGTAATAGTAGTTTAAAATGTATGGTAAAGAAAAGGTAAAACATACACAAATGTATATATAACAACACCTTTATTGGTTGGACGTATGACATATTAACATTCATACAACAGCTTACTAGCGTATAAATAGCGCAACGTTATCTGGATAACACAAATCGCACAATAAAAATATGAGCTACGAATGCTATAAAATATTCAATTGACATTTCCAAACAAACGCAATCGCTGTTGGTTGGTGTTTAGCAGCTCACACACACGCTCACTCATTCACACACACACAACGTACAAAATATACAATCACGTCGTCAGTAACACTTTAAAAATATATTCAACGATTTAATTAAAAAAATATTTGGTAACTTTTCTAAACTTATATAAACAAACCGTCGTCCGATTCTGACGCTATCCTAACATCTTTTACCCAGTTGGAGTAAGAAGGAGTAAAGATTGAAAGCTGAAGATGAAAAGTTGTAAGGATTGATATATGATCTGAGAAGTTTAAATTGAATAGAAGTAAATATATGTTATTCCAATTTTTAATAATCTAAACATAAATGTTGTTTGGGTTATGTTTACAAAACCAAAATGTGGAACAATAAAAGAATTCCAAAACATAAAAACAATTATTCAGTTAGCTTAGGATTAATCAACTGCGTTTACGTACTACCAAGAGAGTAGTTTTAAGCAAAACTGTTTCAAACCATAGTGTTACCTATATTTGACAAGTAAAAAGATATTAAACATTTATATTTAAAAAGTAGAATAAATAGAGAAACCGAGCACCAATAAAGTCAAGTATACATCAGTACGTTGGTACTAATATGAAACAAGAAGTTTGTTATAGGAAAGGATTTGACAAACGTTGACTTGCGTTGCGGCTTATCTTACATTTACCCTATCTTACACTATCTTAAGCTTAACATGGAAGTCTGTGAACCACATAACTTACTATAAAATACATTTGTAACCCCTAGTCTACTGCAACTAGCGAATTACGTCATTAAGTGACTTTCTCGTTTATAGTATAGTATAATCAATCGTAAAAACAGTAATCAACTTTATTTGGAGTTATTTAAGGTTAAAAATATAAAATAGGTTCGTAAAAATACACAATACAATATCATAGCGTAGATTTTTACAATATCTAGATGGTAAAATAAACTCGTTTGTAAAATATAAATCTTCATTAAACTTAGAGCAATATTTTGTCACCGGTTATTTCATATATTAATTTTTTTTCCTGCAGTCAGTACAATTTATTGTAATAAGCTTTCAGTTTATAAAGCAAGTAATTTGAATTAGACAAAATTTTTTGAAAGATAATGTAATTCCAACAGAAATATATGAGATAACTCAAAGAGTAATATTTCTTGAATGAATATATAAAAATTGAAAAAGTTCATTCTTAATCTGACGAAAGAATCCTAGTAGCAAAACATTTTACTCAGGTTTTATGAACCAAATTATTTCATGGAACACATAAAATAATCTATTTCAGTTTCTAATATTAAAGTTTAGCAAGTATTTTCAGTTTTAAGAATGTTAAACATATTGTGCGCTTGTCATTCATCCTCTAAATGTTTTTATTAGAACAAGCTTTGTTATTAAATTATTTTAAATACACAAAACTCCCTAGGTATGAACAAATACTGAACACATAAATTGAATAATCTAAAAGTTATATTTCATAAAACTTGGACCCAATTAAAATAGGAATAAAACATCGACTGTAATTCCCATTTATTGATATTACATTAAACTAAACATCTACAGAACGTCAAAAGTACGCTAAGATATTAAATATTAACTCCAGTCAATTAAGCTTATGTTATATAGACTCATATTATCACATATATGATACACATCTATCTGTCTATCAACATGGGTGCTTATTATATTTTATATAAACTTCCAAACACCTGCAACGTATTGCAATATAGAACAAACAATTTGGAGTATTAGTAACTACTACAGACATGTTCCGGTATATGTGATCACTCTATACAAAATATAGAGTTTACTATTTTCAACTGTAGTACAAACCTTAAAAATAGATACTTAAATTTGCATACCATAATAATTGATTATTTTAATCGTTTTAATTTGGCCCACCTTTAAAATTAGAAAAGAAAAATTACGACTATAAATTACGACAATGGGTTTAGTCGTAATTTAGCACAAATGGACACTTGCATATTATTTGTGCTATGATATAATTAATTGGTCCAGATGATGTCAGGTATGAATACTAAAACATATTTATTTGTTTCGCTTCATTATTACTGTATATCGTTTGAACAACATCACAGTGCATGAAATATGTAATTGTATTAAAAGAAGCCTGTTTTTATGAACCCAATTTTTTTTATATCTATTATCGAGTATATTTTCGTATATACATTGCTACCAAAACTTGTTACTTTTTTGTGTCATTTTCATATTTTAACATTCACGTCTTCAATGAAACATAATTTTCTACAATCTTGGTTCTTTCACATTAGATTCACAAAACTATTTTCAATCATCTCACAAAAGTTCATATAGAAAATCATCTTTCAAAAGTTAATCATGAAATATTTTGGTCAAAATTATAAATTATCAGTTAGAAACTTTTTTCGAAAAGTGTGTGATTAGTTTAATAAATAATTATTAGTTAGATAATTTAATTTCATAAAAACATTAATTAATTTAGAATAGTGTATATACAGATATTATCTTCACGATATTACCGGAACACGGTCTGTAGTCACTCCAACTCCGACGCAACCCTAACAATCCTACATGGTGTTGGCAGACCTACGGTACTATTAAGACACAGATTCTGGCCGGTGGATGCAATTGTCCGAGGGTCAGACGGGGAGGTCCCCTGGGGAGGTGAGGAGGTGAGCGAGGGAGCGCACCAGGAGGGCGAGGCCCAGGGTGGACACGCAACCCCAGGACACCACTACCCTCTGTAGACCGCTGGCCATCGTCACGTTGACGTGGATGGACGCTTGACTCACCCCCTTGTCAGAGACTACCAGGAACATGTACTCCCCGTGGTCCGTGGGCTGGACACACGTCAACTCCAGCACCGCGACATAGCAGTGTGCTGTGGGGCCCTCCTGGAAATAGTAGTTGTGTAAGGTAGTTTTTTTCTCAACTATGTAATTGTCTTGGTAGTCGAAAGGTTATAAATAAATAAATAAATAAATAAATAATAAATAAATAAAAATGCCTTTTATTAGCAAGCGCTCCTCAGTACAAACTGTTTTACAGGATGACTCTTGTCAATCAACTAATCCTAACTTAAAACTAAAGACAAAACAAAATAAAGGTTTATTTTGCAAAAAATAAAAAAGGGTATAAGGATTGAATTAAAATCTACTAATTGCTGGTTTGGTTCCTTGTAAGATAATTTCATTGCCATTGGACTATCAAATAATTATGCTCAAAACACCGATGCTACATGGTTACAAGACCGGAATCTAAACCATAACAAAAAAGGTTTAAAAATTTCAATGTTGAGAAATAAACACTTTTACTAATTATACAGATGGGTCGATGTGTGAAAGAAACATGGCGATACAGGTCGCTATTACAAAATAAGCATATGGACAAAATAAGCATATGGAGGTAGTTTTCAATTTAAACACTTGTTAAAAGCTATTTCCACAAAATTGACCTACAAGTTAAATGAAATGGTATCTTGGCTAAAATAACTATTCAGATAAAAGTGTCTTATCACAAGAAAATGAATATGAAAAACAATTTTATGTTATATTATAACAAATTCCAATTTACATGGTAAAATTTTCATCATTTACCCATTCATGAATCTGTTCAATAACTCTAAAAGAAAGTGATTTGTTATAAATAACATATAATAATACAATTGCATTACACTAGTGAGATAAACAGGAGGGTGAACATGAACTTACAGTTATTTTATGAGCAAATATTCCATCAGGTGTGGGGATGCGGCCGGGCGTGAACACCCGGTCTTGGTTTATCCAGAAGGCCTTGGTATGTGGTGGGTTGGCACAGAACTCAACAGCGAGCTCGGTTCTATCCCCGGTGGCTACTGTCACAGTCTTGTTACTGGGGTAAACTGCTGGCCCACCTGATATGCACATTGGCAATTAGTATATTCATAGCTTTGACTATCCAACAGTCAATGGTGATAGTATTACTTAGCAAAGAAGCCATTGAAGGCATGTGAGCTCCAATCATAAATAGGTTTTTGCTACATAACTAAAACTGCGTTTAGATAGACAGTTTAAAACCGTTTAGAGAGTTATGTCAGCTTGTGACGGCTCTTTGTTAACAGATATGTTGGATCAGTTTCAACACCACGAATCTCTCATTGATACAAATATTTTTGTTTGTTTTCAATAATACTTATTAAATGATAGTACTCTCTCAAATTATTATATGCTTTATTAAGTTAAAAAAGTTTATTTTTATCATATTAGTGTGTTCTAATGTTATAATTTTATTCTATTTAATGCTTCAATACAGCCAGTGTCTACTATTGAAAATAAATAGTCTACGCACTCGAATTTGTTGAAGTGGGTTTCTTATTCTTTGTGCAAGTTGCACTGTTAAATGCAGTAGTACACCATTATGTGATTCAAATTACATAGACAACCAAATAATACCTCTCTTATTTGGTTGTATATGTAATTTGAATCACTAAACTACGTATTCCTATAGTTAATAGATTGAATATTTAATAATGTAAGTGTTTCAAATAAAAGTCAATTAGAACTGTAGACAAACAACAGTGCTCTAATTCACTTTTATTTTTCTACATGTTACCTCCGAATCACCGTTATGAGTCAGTTTACTAAACATGCTAATGCTAAAATATATTAGAGATAAAGCAGTCAAACTTTGCATGCTTGCTCTTTACATATACAGGGACAAAGTTATACATGGGCGATCCAGGAGGAGGAGGAGGACACGACATTTTTGTTTTTATTTCAGTTAAAAAATGGACATATCGTGTTACAATACATATATGTTAACAGCAATGACATGATATAACATAAAAAAATTACCAAAACATGCGATTTCAGAAAGTAGAAAGAATTATGAGTTAGTTTACTAAAAATGTTAAGGCTCTAAATGTATTAAAGATACAACAGTTAAACTCTCCTCCTCCAAATCAGTTATCTTATTGCATGGGACTTTTAAGAATTGGTAAATAAAAATAGGATATTCATTACAACCAAATGTTCTTTTAGGATGCCCAGCACCTAAATAGTAGGGAACCCTCTTAACATGTGATAAAGGTTAAATACAAGTATTTGACACTGACCAACCACAGAGACGTGGACGTTGTGGGACCTGTATTTCTCGAGTTTAGCGCTGCGGGCGACGACACAGCGGTACTCGCCCGCCTCCTGGTAGAGGATACGGTCAACATGGAGTCCTGGGCCTGGGCCCACTGGGTCTAGCGAGCCATCCTTGCCCACCTTGCCCCAGCAGCCACCCTCCTTGCTGGGGCACTGCAGCTGTACTACCCCTCCTAGCGACACCTCCACCGCCGCCTCCTCGGAGACTCCAGCGTCACCGGGTGTCATCTCCATCTCAGGCACGTCGTCTGCAAAGTGAGGGAAAGTTAGAGGCAATACAGGGATCTTTGATAGTAAAGTTCTTGAAAATGTAATATGTCTTACTGTGAACTTAATTATGTCAACAATAGTTTTATTAGAATTTATTTGAAAAGCGTCTGAAACAATAAGCTATGCTTCCATGTTCAAAAATTAGAGTATTTTACTTCAGAAATGAATGCATTTTACTAACAGTAAATTTACTGCATTTGAATCGCTTTACGACCTCTTACTACACAATAAGTTGAGATATAAGTGACGAGGACGAAATATGAGTGATGGAGGAGTGTAGACTGGAATGATATCACCTGTGTAGTTTTGTTTTTGACTGAGAAAACTTTTCCACTAGCCAGGGCCATTTATTAAAAGCCCGATGAACGGAGAGAGCTGGGTTCACTTTTGAACTATCGAACTATCTTAGGATAGATCCTAAACCCCTTTGATTGTTAGTATAGAACTTAAAAGTATCCGGCTATTTAGCAAGTGTACCAAGGCTCCAATGGTATTCATGGCATAACATTATTCTATGGTACTTTTAAAGGGTTTTATCAGCCAAAATTATAAGATAACTCTTAACAATAAGTTATATTTGTATAGTTCACTTTACAGTACGTACGTCTAACATTAAGAAGATAGGCGATAGAAGAGAAGTCCCCCAGGAGATGTTTAGTGGTACACTTGTACCAACCACCGTGCTCTCTCCTGATGGAGGTGAAGTTGAGAAATCCGTCGTCAGACTGCTCCACCGGTGGCGGCGCATTGTCTGTCAAATTTAAACTTAAATTAGTCATTGGAACAAAACTGAAACTCCATATATTTTGCCAACACATGCATTTATATTTTATTAGGAGTGCCAATTTTGCCTTTCATTATCCTTGAATTTAACTGTTATAAAACTTATCATGACCAAACAAAGTGAAAGATGTAGTTTGTATGATCTAGTAATGTATTAAGAATGGTGCTTTTCATTACTAGTAATATAAAAAAAATACATAGTTTGAGGGGTGTTAACAGTTTTAAGCTGAACATCGGTACCACACAAGCTTATTGAGCTCCTAAACTACACATCACTGGTATGTAGACAGGAAGCCTTCTCTATATTTTTTTCACGACTGGCTTGTCCATGTAATTTATACCGTAGCAGTAGGGCAATATTATTTATTACATCACAGCACAAATCGGTAATATATAGTAACGAATTGTTTTGGTAAAAATATATAAAATTCACCATAGATGAAAGTACATAATGTTTTGAAACAAAATTTCTGGGTTGTTTGATTAATCAAAGACATTAATAAATTTTATTGAATTCTGAAAATATAACTTTGATAATTGTATTACTTACAGAACTGGTGTGGGATAGCGCTTGATTAGAATAACACCTATTTCTTTAGAAATTATTGTTAAAAATAAATGCCATTGCAAAAGAATGCTTCTGACAATACTACTTATAGTGTAAACATGTATTAATAAACGAATGTTTAAATGTACATGTGGATAGTGATGTTAATTTTTGTGAATTTTACCTTTCTGCCAGACTGGACTGCTGGGAGGGTTGGAGTCTACCTCACATTTGAGGCTGACGGGAATCCCTTCGCGTAGGGGAAACCCAAAACCGGGAAGTCTAATTATACCAAAAGATGGTGTGTCTGAAAAATTGCAAGGTATTTACATTCTGAATTTCGTTCAGTACAGTAAAATATGACATCATGAGTCTACAACTAGGCATGGTCGAGGTGTGATTTACTATAAGTTCTTGACTAGATTGAGAAACTGATCCAAAAAGTGCAACAATTATCCTGAGACGAGAAAGTTTTTTCACCGCAAATAAACAATTTATCATGTAAGAACACATTAGTCATTCTGAAATAGTAAATTCTTTTTTTGTTATCCCCATGGATAATTGACAATAAAATATACATAAAAATGTTAGTGTATCCAAAATATATGAACAATATGCACGAGATCTTCCTTTTAGCAGGTTAAAACGTTTACTAGTATATAAGAAGAGGCTGAACTAAAAACTCCCTAAATCAATAAATAGAGTTACCTCGTCAATCAGTTCATAGTAGTTGTAACATTGTTACGGCAGTTTCAGCATCTTCGTGCCATCATCAGACGTTCAGCCTTAGTGGCGTCTGATGATGGCACGAAGATGCTGAAACGGCCGTAACAATGTTACAACTACTATGAGCGGATTGACGAAGGTAACTCTATTTATTGATTTAGTCACAAGATCAGCTCAGGGGCAAAAACATTGGATCAAACTGTAATCGAAGGTTTCTAAATCAAATCATTTGTTACTCAAACTTACACTGCACATCCAACAGTAGTGAGGCGTTGATAGGCGTAGGCAGCGTAGCGTGGTGCACTAGACAAGCTATGGTGGCGTTGTGGTGGGCCCTCTCCACCCTCAGCAGGGCCTTGCTACGGGCTCCGGGCCCCTGGTGCTCTGTGACGTTCTCTTTGATGAGCTGCAGCCCCGGGACCGCCTCCACCGTCTGTGTATTTCCCGGGATCAACACCCACTGTAGTGTAGGGCTCGGACTCCCACCCTCCGATACACATTCTATCGTCAGGTTCGTGTTCTCCTTGACTGGCACGAACAGATTGCCTGGATCTAACCTTCGCCCGTCTATCAGTAGATATGGCGGCCGTGGAGGATCTGAAAGATGAAATAATGCAAGTAATTTAGTGTTATAGAATGACACTGCAGAGTAAATGCATTATGAGGGAAACTTATAAGAGCAATTGGCAATGTCTGCAGTGTTACCGGGAATTATATCACGATTTACTTCATCAGCAAATAACAAACAATGTAAACAAGCTGAATACCAAATATAATTTATGACTCGTGTGGAGGCGTGTTTTTTTTAACTATTCACAAATATCAGACATTATGATAATACCCATAAAAATCTGCTCAATGGCATAGAAAACCTGATCAGTGTGTCACCTAATCATAAATAATTATTACTTGACTTTTGTTGAGTAATATGATATGATTTCAACTGATGATTATTTTGTGTAGTTGCATCATCTAATTGTTTGATTGTAATTGTATCTATACAATTGTACATATTGTATATGTACAAATTGCATACGGTTAGTAAAACAAAACTTACTTAAAACTTCAGTTTGAAAATAAATATGATAATGAAAAGCTCATAATGGTTAATGTTACATTATTATTACAAAGGTCAAATAATATCCGTCCGTATTTAACATTGGGCTCAACTCCGTTTGTTTCAATTTATCCCCATAATGAAACAATTACAAACACTGCGGGGTTGTTGATTCCAGCAGCCTGGTGCAGATTAATCTCACATTGTACACAGCCCTTACAAAACAGACCTCACAGACTGTGTGTTACACGTAGATATTATGCAACAAACATTCGAACAACTCTGTTAGTTTCGTAATGTCACTGAGAAATGCTATACAACTGTATTGCCTTGCTTTATCGGGGCATTTTTTTTTAATTTCAGCAACTCAGTCTTTTTTAAGGGGTTGAGTATACTGGTAAGTAACGAAATACACATATCAATTAATGAGTGTATTTAAATTACATAAATACAATTATTTTTATGTAACAGCCTCATACAATCTTGCATTTGCCGTGCCATGTGGGCATTGTTCCCTAGCGTGGAAAGCAAGGGGTGAGCTGGTATAATACTACAGTAAAACTTATAGACTGATAGAATATCAGTCAACTATCTACAACTCATAACATGTTCTAGTGGTGGGCTCCAGGACTCAATTCTATGATATCGGTGCCTCGAAGGTGTTTACTTAATTTTGTAGGGTTACTTGATTATGCAAACTAAGTTAAATAGCATTTAGATGTAAAGTAGCTAAATGAGAGAACAAATTAGTGGTTTTACTACCTATTCCAAAGTAATTGTCGTTAAATTTTATTAGGTTTGAAGATGACGGTTAGCTAGAAGGAAGTCTACAAAATATTGAAATGATTACCAAAATGATTAAATAAAATTACTGTATAGGTTAACCGTAATTCTTTAAAGAAGAATTAACAAAGGAAAGATTAATTCGTTGTCGCAATTGTTTTCCCATTTATTTACAGCTAAATTTTTGTATTCGTGGTTCTTAAAAATACAGGGAGAAAAATAAAAGAACCACGGATACCATTTGAACAAACTTAATAACCAAATGTCACTTTCATTAGTTACAGTATTTTTTTTTTTATTAAAATTGTGTTTTTCTTTTATACAAGCGTTTTTACTTATACCTACAATAATAACAAAGGTCAAGTATATACTGAGAAAATATTTGAAACACAAGCAAAAGATTATAAAATATTATATTACAAAACGTAAGTTAAAATATATGGGAGAATCAATATTTTCTGATCAATGAAAACAATTAGACCTATAGTTTATCGAGAATCTCTTTGAATGTCAATTACAATTTACAAATGCCAACCTAAAATATTTTCACTTTTAAAACACATTTAAACTTTTTCCACATATTTACCGAGCCTCCCCTAGCCAGCTGCCGTTGAGAGCACGTGTTACTTGCTCCCCTCTCCACTAGCTACATTGTCGAGTATGTATGAAACATATTGTCAATATCAACCCCCGACTGTCCTGAGTTATTGGATAAAGACTGGTGTTGACGTTCACCCCTCCCTATGGGACCTTCCCATCCCTTCCTCCGGCCCTTCAAAACCAGGGATGCAAATCAATGGAGGTAAATCAACCGCAGAGATTGGAGATGCATTAATCTATTGGAGATCGCTTTTTCATCTAGGGTTGAGTTTTGACAGCGTAGGTTTTTTGTTTTGTCTAATAAAAATGGAAAATTGCACAAGAAAAATTGATGAAGAATCAACTTGCCAATATAAAGAGTGCCGAAATTCTTGGGAATTGTTTAACCATCGCAAATAATGCCACGATTTTGTACACATAAGTATCTTGTATACTAAAAAAAACTTTTGCAACACTTATGACAGATAGCCTGACCATACTACTGGACCGAATTACATGCGGTTGGTTCCAAATGAAAAATATTTTCCTGTAGATGTGCAGAATCCCCTTATGAATTAAAATAAGTTAAATAAGCACAACAAATTAATTTAAAATATAAAAAATTACATGGGTTGCTATTAACATGGGTTTATGGGTTGCCATGTTCGTGAAAAAAATAACGACAAAATATAAACAGAAAATCTAAACTAATGGAAGAAGTTCTAATCACATGGCGTGGGGGTGAAAATAGAGAAGATTGCACGCGGCGAGCTGCCTTTAATCCTAAAATACTTTTGGAGCATATTATCAAATATTTACCGTCATTCTGTTGCCGATCTTGAAAAGGACGGAAGGAAATCTTTAAGAGACCATAGGTAGAGCAGTCTACTAAATTTAAGGTCTCTAATAGGAGAAAACAGTGCCATCAACCACTGTTCCCATATTAGAAAAAATTAATAATATTGCACTGAGAATCAAATCTGCTTTACGAGGTATCTTGAATTACCATAGTATAGTAATGGAGAGTAACATATCGATTACGTTTACAATTACTTGTGAGGACCACCGACATTCTGAAAATTGCACAATCCTATTTTCTGTAGGAAATTTGGATTTTTGTGTTTTGAAACACCTGACTAAAAAAAACTAGTTCAAGATAATATCACCGCCAATTTTGCTATGATCACCTTTTGGGTGTGGCTGACAACGCTGTTTTCTCCTAATAGAGATGGATGCACAACTCAATCTATTCTCTCGTCTGACATTTGCTTCTGACTTCCTATTATGAGGTGTTAAATTTGTATTGGTTTCAAAAAGTATATTTCCAGATGTATTACTTACATGGTTGCACATCTGCAGAGCAAAAAGTGCTTATAGACCTTTTGGGTACTTTTAACATGAAAGTATACAATAAGTTTGAATCACAATTGAATTTGAAAGAACAATTAACAACTTTGATTACACAAAGCTTACTCGTTGTATACTCTATGCTTTACATCATTCTCTGCTCAGACAAGTTTGATAACTGGTATTGACACGTGTCTAGTTCAAAACTCAATAACGCAATGTTATCTCGTCAACGCCGAACTACCTTCAGTGGATCTGGGATGAATGGGTTCATGAACATACGTACATAACTTTGAACACTGCTAGTTTCCGAGTACCTATGTTCGGTATTAATTATAAAGTTATGATGTGGTAGGTTTAGATAGACGAATTGATGTAAATTATGATTCAATTCTTTACAGTGCAATTTTGTGGAACAATAGTAAAAAAGTAGTTTATATAAAATAATTGAAGTGAGGAATGAAATGTACGAATCGAGGAGTTTTTAAGAACGTAATTGTCTAGAATAGACAACAAATTATCGTAATTTTTTCTTATGACTTTTATAAACACTTCGTAAATCCAATGGATATGAAAACTATACACAAACGTATTTGCAGTTGTCTATTTACAGATACGTTATTGTCATTGAGCTTTTGAAATAAAGATATCCCTCCGAACTTTTAAAATTGAAAACCACATTTGGTATTGACTGCTCTCACAATAGATTTTTTATTCATAAATTTAGTCAGTATTTATTTATTGTATTTTTATTAGTCTTATTATTGAAAAATAATTGAATAACCCTTGAACATAATCTATCCGATTATTATATTCATAGAGTCAGAATTTGAACACAATTTCTAGGATGTACAAAACTAATAAAATCAAATAACATTAAAACGAAACCTACAAAAATATAATAAAATAATTCATTGCTCTGACAAAAGGTTTACAAGTGTATATTCTATTAGTTAATTGAGCCTTTAAAATTTAAATTTTTGCAAAGGCATAAGCACTATTCTCGATCAATTTAAATAAAGTTATAAATATCAAAGTTTTATTAAACAGGCGCAATACGTTGTCGGTCGTTTGAATTTCGCAGGTGGCGCAGTAACGATTCCAATACATTGTACTTATAAAGCATTAATTACAAACAAAACACTGAAGTGCTCTCGGTCGCAATTCAAACTGTTATGTGGAATGTTTCGGCTCAGCTTTTTAATGAAACAATTACTAACACACCACGGGTGTTTTGTTTTCATGGTTTAATTCCAACTCGTTTGTGTACAAAGGTCATACGTTTATGGATTTTACGTATTTCAAAATTTGCAACAGAGTAAATTTTTTTGATTATGTATAAATTGATTAGAGGTCGAAAATAGTTATGAAAGTAGAGGCCTATTGAGTCAAAGACATGTACAATCTGCAGGTATACAATAGTAGTTCGAGACAAAGTCGAGAACTCAAATCGATCGAGAGCTGCAAAACCATTTCGGTCCGTGGTACGAACGCTATTTTTCACCACACTATACCCTATTACCAATATTCACCACTAAATAATGCACACAGATAGTCAACACAACTGCAACTTTAAGGTTATGTGAAGACAGTTATTTGGGTAACTAGTGGGCATAGTGGCACTTTGCTGCACACGAGAGCAATGTTAACAATAGCAATGAGCAATGAGAGGAATGATCTCGAGTGCAGCAAAGGCCTTTTGCACTCGTGTTACACATTAGAAAATAGCAAAATCCTCTTTTCTATGGGCAATTTGGGTTTTTGAGTTTTACTATTTTACCTGATTCCAGAAAAAAAAAAAAAAAAAAAAAAAATAGATCAAGATAATATCACCGCCAATTTTGCTACGATCACCTTATGGGTGTGGCTGACGACGCTGTTTTCTCCTAATAGAGATGGATGCACAACTCAGTCTATTCTCTCATCTGACATTTCCTTCTAACTCTTTTTGCACCTTCCTATTATGAGGGGATTAATTTGTATTGGTTTCAAAAAGTATATTTCCAGATGTATTACTTACATGGTTGCACATCTGAAGTGCAAACAAGTGTTTATAGACCTTTTGGGTACTTTTAACATGAAAGTATACAAAAAGTTTAAATCACAAATGAATTTGAAAGAACAATTAACAACTTTGATAATGCAAAGCTTGCTACCCGTTGTAGGCTCCATGCTTTACATCATTCTCTGCTCAGACAAGTTTGATAACTGGTATTGACACCTGACAAGTTCAAAACTCAATATAGCAATGTTATCTCGTCAACGCCGAACTACCTTCAGTTGATCTGGGATGAATGGGTTCATGAACATGTGTACATAACTTTGAACACTGCTAGTTTCCGAGTAACTATGTTTGGTTTGGAATTAATTATAAAGTTATGGTGTGGTAGGTTTAGATGGACGAGTTTATGTAAATTATGATTCAATTACAGTGCAATTTCGTAGACCAATAGTACAAAAGTAGTTTATATAAAATAGTCAAAGGGAGGAATTAAGAATACGAATCGAGGAGTTTTTTTTTTAAATGTAATTGTCTAGAATAGACAACAAATTATCGTAACTATTCTTATGACTTTTATAAACACTTCGTAAATCCAATGGACATGAAAACTCTACACAAAAATAATTTGCAGTTGTCTATTTACAGATACGTTATTGTCATTGAGCTTTTGAAATGAAGATATCCCTCCGAATTTTTAAAATTGAAAACAACATTTGGTATCGACTGCTCTCACAATAGATCTTTTATTCATAAATTTAGTCAGTATTTATTTATTGTATTTGTATTAGTCTTGACAAATAGTTGAATTACCCTTTAACGTAATTTATCTGATTATTATATTCATAGAGTCGGAATCTAAACACGATTTCTAGGATGTGCAAAATTAATAAAATCAAATTACAATCAAACAAAAACTACAAAAAATGTAATAAAATAATTCATCGCTCTGACAAAAGGTTTACAAGTGTACATTCTATTAGTTAATTGAGCCTTTAAAATTTAAATTTTTGCAAAGGCATAAGCACTATTCTGCATCGATTTAAATAAACATATCAATATCAAAGTTTTATTAAACAGGCACAACACGTTGTTGATCGTTTGAATTTCGCAGGTGGCGCAGTAACGATTCCAATACATTGTACTTATAAAGCATTAATTACACACAAAACACTGAAGTGCTCTCGGTCGCAATTAAAACTATTATGTGGAATGTTTCGGCTCAGCTTTTTAATGAAACAATTACAAACCCACCACGAGTGTTTTGTTTTCATGGTTTAATTCCAACTCGTTTGTGTACAAAGTTCATACGTTTATGGATTTTACGGATTTCAAAATTTGCAAGAGAGTAAATCTTTTGATAATGTATAAATTGATTAGAGGTGGAAAATTGTTATGAAAGTAGAGGGCTATTGATGTAAAGAGATGTTTAATCTGCTATGTTAATGAAATCTGCAGTTGTACATAAGTTTGATTTTAAATTAATCACGGCATCACAAATCCTTTTAGAAAAAAGTGAATGCCCTACCGTTTGTTTTACCGTCGGGCTCCTAATCATTTCAACAGTACGAGTTAACTTTTCGTTCGTATACTTAAATAATTGTATTAAAAGGTAGGCCTACTGTGATAGAAATATATTACAATTTTTAAACATTTAAATAATATTGGGAGATACAATGTTAAATTGTATATATTCTGGTCAGTTGAACAAACCGACTTTAAGGATTTTTTTACTAATTGTAATTAGCGTTTCAAAATACAGTTTTGATTCCAAAAGAGAATGATACTGTACTTAAATGTAATTTTATCTTTGGGCTATCAATCAATGATGCTGTTTAACAAAATACGTTAGATAGTAACAAAAGCGTTTACCGTTCCCTTCCTTGTGCAAACATAAAATAAAAATAAACGTATTCATTCAGAACAGTTTTCCTTTCCTCTCATTCGACAGTAGACTCACCTAGCACTACCAGCCAGATGGGCCTCGCTACAACTCCAGTGTCTCTGTCCTCACACTGCCACGTGCCGTCGTCCTCCAGTCGCACACTGGACACGGTCAGCCTGCCAGAGGACGGGTCCACGGAGTATCTGTGTCCAGGATCTACCTCGGCTCCGTTGTGTCGCCACCGCACACTGCCTCCGGAGTTGTTCACTGCCTCACACAACAGCACCGCCTCCTCGTGCTGCCTCACGAGGAACTCCGAGGGCGCCGCCTCCTCCGTTGTGTTACCCCCGTCCTCCCTGGACCTCCGGGAGAGCGCGCCGTGCTGGTGGTGGCGTAGAGTCACTAGCGCTGTCGTGCGACCTGGAACAAAATGATGAGTCAAGTAATTTACTCGGAAAACATGCGAGGTGGGTTATTTATGAAAATCCACTCTTGCTACCTATCTCGGATTTGGTGAAGTCAAACATATTAAAAAATGCTTGCGGACTCTTTTGAAAGATCTAGATATATTTACAAGCCGGGTAAAAAAGATCAAGGATAAGGGTCAAGTTGAGAGAAAACATAAATGCAAAAATATAAGAATACTGTATTCACACTTTTCTGCAAAATTGATTACAAATCATAATCAACGTGTTCATCTTACAACACTTAACTACTTAGAACGTAATTTAATACAGAGATAACATGGAGACAAGTATAGGATAAGTTATTCGTTTAGTGAGTCGGTGGCTCTGTCGGTAGCGTCGCGGACTTCGGGACAAAGGCAGCGATGTCGTGGGATCGGATCCTGGTCACTGCCGATAACATTTTATCAGTACAGTTCACCTTTGTACTGTACCGGCTCACTCCTTGCTTTGCTGTAAACGATCCACGCACGGGCGCTTAGTCTATGTGGACGGGCAAATGCAAGGTAAAAGAGGCCACCAACCTCTTTAAAAAAAAGTAAACAAATGCGTTACTATAGATCCAGACAAACTAGTCCCTTAATATAAAATCAGTGTACAGAAGTGTACAGAATCTTAAGAAAAATGTAGGTTAAAACTAGTTTTTATGACGTAGCGTGATATAACGTGGGACGTCGGGAAAAGTCATCTCATCGAACAATACACCTTATTCTGTAATAACCGTATATTAACCGTGTATCCGACGGACGAAGCTGTAATAACCGTGTAATAACCGTAAAAAAGAAAGATCGATGAAATTGAATGTTCTATAACACTGATTTACATAATACTGTACAGTCAATTGAAAACTATAAATTGCAATTTGTTAAAATATAAAACCAAACCATTTTCATAAATGGTCAAATACATTTACAGTATACTCTACACTGGTAGGTTAAGATAAGTGGGGTTTCCCCTTGGAAAAAAGAACATCAGTAGTTTAGAGAGGTCGTGATAAAGTATTAAAGCAATGGCTGAACTTGGAGTGGGCTGACATTTGAGCTAACTAGCCGCAGTCACGGAATATCCTGCGACCAAACGTTTCCAAACACGCTCAATTACAATCGTGTGACTTTGTACATCTGTAAGCAACAAGTGGGTTGCTTAATGTCTACATGTTTATAAACAAGCAACTGTAATATTTAATCTTAAGGAAAGCCCTATAGTTTTTACGTCACCCTGTTCACATTAGTTAAAACAGTTTAATAAATTTATTTTAATTGGTTATGATGAGATAATTGTAAACGTGTCGTAACATTTGACTACCTTAACAATATTTACCAAAGTAATGCATACATAGTGGGAGTGATAGTTTATTTTTAAGGCAATTAATATGGTAAAGTGTCATATCATGGCGAGACATTTTTATTATTGTAGATAGATAATTTTGATAACGTTTACGGTTCAAACAAAATACAAGATTAAGATGAGATAACAACTTTTTTTCCAATAATTATTAAATTTATTATTATTCCGCAGAATTTATCCTAGTGGGTTTTTAAAGTCAGTAAGGATCTTGGTTATAATTTGAAAGATTTTCACCTTATTTTTAGTTTATCTGACGTAATACAACTAATAACCTAGAACACTTAAACAACGGAAATAAATGTAAAAGCTGCTAAGTATGTAGGCCTAATTTAAAAAGTACATAGCCATGTCTAAAATATAAATTAGGTTTCATAAACCTTTTCGATTAATAAAAGTAATTCTAATGAATTACAAAGACGTCAAGCAGTGTTCTTTTCATAAGAAGAACGTCGTCTAGTTAAAGAAGATCCCAGTAGAATGCGCGTCATGTTCCACACGAGGACACTGACTCCGTCCTCTACGTCGCAGTTTAGAGGACGTTGCCTCCAATCTTCTTCTTCTCCTTCTGTCCTCACGTTTTACTGTTATCTTTCTAGGCCTCATAAGCCTCTTTACTGCAAAACACGTATTTTGTTTCTCCGTTCGTTTAGTGGTGCGTGCTGTCCCCTCATATGTTGTTATTACGTAGGGTACAAATCCGCCTTTTATTTCTTCAACAGAGAAAAACTCTTCCTCCATCTCGGTTTTATTATTCGTGAAATAAATAAAATAAGAAAAAGGGTTGGTGCTATGTTACGTATTATGAGAAATGATACACAATTATGACGGAGGTCACTTGTATTTACCAAATAGTTTTCGGCAAAGATATTTTCCTGATTAGAGGTGCTATACACTAAGAGCATAATTATTTATAAAAAGTAATATAATACTGCTTACACCAAAAGTCATATTACAGTCAAATTTACCTTATCAAGATAGATTTTACAATTTATATTACACATTATGAATATGTACAAGATAATAACAATTAGGCTACCTAACACACTCATACAAATTTAAACACAAAAAATATTTCGTTTTATTCCAAGGAAGGAAGAAAACCTTTGAGGCTATTTAGAAGCGAAAATATACATTCCCAAAACTCTCGTAGGTTTCATAGTCTTAGATATACAGTATTAACGATGCAGCCTTTAAGATTGTTTATATAGGTATATTATTAATAACGTGATATTTTTGTGGATAGTTGAGAGTTCTTCCCTGTTAAGCTATCCATTCTCATGTACGTAAAACATAGAAGATATTCTTCCACTACATCAGGATCATTGATTACATGGAACGTGCTAATAGAGTATACAGCTTTCGCCCATGAAACATTTATTATGAGATACGGAAGCTACTGAGGCATACTTAACCTCAAATATGAATGTAAAATAAGTGTGGCATGAGTAAATATGCTTTTGTAGCTTTGCAACTAACTAAGGCACGCTCTTTATTTAGTCAGAACTGTCTAAGAGAATCCAATGAATGAATAGGCGGTTCAGTTTAAAGTCGTCGAAACAAATCTTCAGTTGTCCAAATCAAACCCCAAAACCTCTGACCCAAAAGTGAGCTCTTTGCCTTTTATATCCTTGTTTGTTGAAGCGTGCATATACAAATTCAGTTATCAGTATTAACATCGATTTGTGTTCTCCAACTATTTTCTTCACACTATGCTTATAAGGCGAGGGGTGAGATTAAGTGGGGGGAATGTTTTGATTGACAGATAATAAAATAAATCAATTAAATTGCTCCTCCACAGTTAACCTACAGGCTTAGCGAATTTCCGTTTGACTGGATGGATTTTACTGAAATATTACTATTGCCTTAAATAGGTCAGATTTAAATTTCTTATTTGCACTTTTTTATAACAAGTAGCTAGGTACTTTGGTACTGGGGAGGTAAATGGTGTTTATTCTTAGAAATCGTGCTTTTATAATAATTTTGGTTGGAAATGAGAAAGACAATCTTTACTTTGAACTGAGTGACGGGAAGTTCATATTTATCATTTGCTTGGTTGTAGTTTTGAAGTAGATACGTGAAGATAACTAAATTTGTGATAAAGTGATTGTTCAAACTATCGTTTATTAATCACAGCGTTACAAGTTACAGCGCTCTTTTTGTTTGCAATTTTCGTTCCTCAAAATAATTTTTATAACAGCAATCTATGAAAAATTTTCTAAATTAAGAACAGGGAAATTTTCATTTTGTACAGAGAAAACACAAGTTAGTTGTTTAAAGATCACAAAATATCGATCGTGTTAGGCTAGAAAGTAGATAATCATACTACTTCTTTCATTCCTGTTATCTACAGATAGCCGTTGTCAGCTATGTAAGTTGTTCCGAATGTATGTATCTAATTCATAATCGATTATTGCTTAGGAATATTGATAGTTTACTTAAGGAACAGCAAATGTCCAATGAAAAGTGCACCACACGGATGATTGACTGGAGTTACATTTTTTAACACTTAACAAGGTCATCTTACCTGCCTAATGCGTTATGGGTATTCACCATAGCTGTACACTTCTATTATTAGTCTACAATAAATCACGGTCACTTTCCCTTACCTTTAACATTAAAGTCACACTGTGAGTTTTTAAAATCGCAATACGCACTACATAAATTACAAAACAGTGTTTACGGTATTTTGAATTATTACTGAAACCCCACTGTACAATCAACGATATTCTTGGAAAACCAAAAGCTGTATAGCAGTTCAAAACTCTATAGAATGTAGAGTAATAATTCAGTATATTGCAGTTTGGGTTTTTTTCTGGTTTTAAACACGAGTCATGACGGTAAGTTTTGTAATTCCACTGATCTAATGGAAACTTAAGTAACGCAGTCTTTGTTAGTACTTCACCACGCAACCAGCTCCTGCGTGAATCAACGCGTATTTTATGAATGAATCTCATTTTATAAACGTATTTAATAACAGAACCGTTTAAAATTTGGGAAACGGATACTATGAAAATAAATCTTCTGGAAATTTATTATATACTCAAATCTAATTTCATGATGGGTTAGCCTCTGGATCGTAAATTGCAATATAAAAATGGTTTATTTTACCTTTTTGTGTCGAACGATCCGTGTGTAACATAAACATAGGTAAAATAAACTACTTTATATCAAATCTAATGTTTAGTTGATAATATTGATATGGATTTCAATTACATTGTTAAAACTAACTTAGTTGAAAACTACCTCCGTAACAGAACATGTCAAGTCTTACCATTAGGATGGGCAGAAGCCAAAAACAGCACAACCACACACACAGTACTCGTCAGTGATATCAACTCGTACACACACAACATGGCATTACACACACGGATCACTTGACACTACCGTCCTGGCACATATTTACACGAAATACACCGATTGACACACACACTACAGGTTATAGAAAATATTATCTTGGTGTTTGGAAGTGTTGGAAACTACTCGTCTACGTAGTTGTGAAGACGCGATGGACGTGCGTGCGCGTCAGGATGCTGCCAGACGCCGACTGGCGACGCCGACCAGAGATGTTGCCATGGCAACGCTGGTATCGAGCGTCGGGACACCGCGTGT